CTTTGCCCAGATCTCTCCTGTTCTGTACGATAAGGCAAAGGCTGATTTTCACTGGGGTTGGATGTCAATGAAAAGGGACTGCCTTTGGGTCTGCCATAACTGTTGGATCTTACCTGGGCACTGGGGTGTGGGCAGAAGTGAATTTTGCAAAAGGCAGGGACGGGTCTGACCTGACTCACAGGTCACAGGGACCCCCTGAGCCTCTGGAGCCCCAGATCAAAGGATCAGATTTTCACCTTTTGTCACCAATTTAGGACTGCACGGTTTTGAATATTCATTTTTAGATAATATCAGTTGAGAAAAGAGGGGGAAAAATGAAAATCTAGTGCTGGATCTGAGCAAACAGAAAGGTCAGTGGTTAAGTTCTGCCTTATGTGTTGTGTATGCTGAAATGTCCTTTTATGAAATTAACCCACAAAATGGAGGAGTAGCTGAAAGCTGTAACACTTGGCCATGCAACATAGGTCAAAGGTTACCTTTTTTTCTCAAAAATGGTTTTGCAAATCTTTTTCAGAGCTGATAGATACACACCTTAGCTGGATACAAAACATTATATGAAAAAGAATGACTGTGATCTTTGATCCAAGCAATCAAAAAGAAAGGTAATTGGTATTTTTCTGCCTTTTCTCCAGCTGTGTGTTTCTCTTAACCTTTATTTATTTATTTTTTAAAATTAAGAAGTCATTCCCCTTTTTATTTGGCGTAGAGGGTTTAAAATATTTAATTTTATTTAATTTTTTTTAAATATTCTTTTTCTTCCCCACTTGTGTAGCACAGAGCTGTCCCGAGGTAGCTGGGGCCTGGTGGGCAGGGAAGGAGAGGTGGGGCTGTGCATGCTGGGCTGAAGCATCTCAAGGATCCCACCCTCCCAGGCAGGGCAGCTTGGAGGGCACTCTGCCAGCCCAGGCTCAGCTTTCCTGCTCCAGCTCTGCCCAGGGCTTGGCTTTGCATGTCCCAGTTCCTCCTGGGCATGGCAGGATGTGGAGCACTGCAGGGAGGAGCCACTGGGTGAGCTTTGCCTTCTCTGAGGAGCCATCCCCAGAGGGTCAGTGCCATGTGTGGAACACCCACGGCATCCCTGGTGCCCAGGGGGATCTGTGGGATTGTCCCCAAAGGCCACTGGAACATCCCTGGCATCCCTGTGCCCAGGGGCATCTGTGGGATTGTCCCCATAGGGTCAGTGCCATGTGTGGAACACCCACGGCATCCCTGGTGCCCAGGGGGATCCGTGGGGTGGCACAGGTGCGGAGGGGTGTGAGTGTGGCACCCTCACAGGGTGACATTGCCACCTCACAAAGGCTCCTCCTGTCCCTGGGCTGCTGGGACACAGCCCACTGTCACCCCACGGGGACACAGCCCAGTGTCACCCCACGGGGACACAGCCCAGTTTCCAGCGGGGAGGCTGCGAGGGAGGCTTGGCTGTCAGTGGGGCTGGAGCAGGGGCTGGTGCCCATCAGAGGGACACAGACTGTGCCCCCATAATTCCAGCAGCCTCTGGGTCATCCCCTGGGCATCCCAGGCTCTGTCCCACTCCCAGGACAGCAGCATGTGCCAGAGGACACCCTGAAGGAGCCCAGCCAGGCCTTTCCTTGGCCTCGTGGCAGCTGTCATTTCAATATCTTTCTTTATGATTTAATCTTTCATTATCTTTGCATATGTACCTCTGGCCTCATTTAATCAGTTCTCTCATTAAACAGATCAATAGTGCTGTGCTCCAGAGCAGCCAGTGCCAGGCACTTAACTAACAATGTTTTATTTAGTAATCACACAACCTGCTGTTCCCCTCAGCTAGAGATGAGCAAATAATGAGAACTGATACTTGGGACACATTTTAACCACATCACCAAAAAGAGATGGCTGGGAGTTCACAAGAGCAGGTTCAGCCCCTGCTCGGGGCTTTCTCTGAGGTTTAGGCATGGCTCAGTTTGCTGGTTTGGTTCAGCCAGATTTGGTTCAGCCAGATTTGGTTCAGGCTCAGTTTGCTGGTTTGGTTCAGGCTCACTTTGCTGATTTGGCTCAGCCAGATTTGGTTCAGGCTCAGTTTGCTGGTTTGGTTCAGCCAGATTTGGTTCAGGCTCAGTTTGCTGGTTTGGTTCAGGCTCAGTTTGCTGGTTTGGTTCAGGCTCAGTTTGCTGGTTTGGTTCAGCCAGATTTGGTTCAGGCTGTTTTCTGGCTTGGTTCAGGTTGTTTTCTGGTTTGGTTCAGGCTCAGTTTGCTGGTTTGGTTCAGGCTCATTTCGCTGGTTTGGTTCAGGCTCAGTTTGCTGGTTTGGTTCAGCCAGATTTGGTTCAGGTTGTTTTCTGGTTTGGTTCAGGCTCAGTTTGCTGGCTTGCTCCAGCCTCTGTTGAAGCCCAGGTCTCTTGGGCACCCCTGGATCTGGGTGACGTGCCCACAGTTCTGGAGCAGACCCCCAGGGATGTGTGATTGCCCTGGCCTTGGGCTGGAGGGGATTTCAAGCTTGGAGAGCGAGCCATGCTTGGGATCACTCCTGGTCATTTACATATTGATTTGGTTTAGGGACTCTGGTTGTAGGTTCTAGTGCTGGGACAAGCCCTGACACACACTGGTGATGCCCAGCTTAACCTGCACCCAACACTCCTCCCACCACTTGGGTCTGGGTGAAGTTCAGGGTGTCTGTGGGACATTCAGGCCAGCTGATAACAGGGAGCTCTTGACCTGCAGGTTCTCACAAAAACCCCAATTTTCCACGTGGAAGAGCTGGCAGGGAGCAGTCCTGGGTGTGCCTGTCCATGGGGTCAATGCTTCAGGCTGTTCCCCTGCAGCTTTTTAGCCCTGATCAGGCTGCAGACACTGGAACCTCAGCCCACAGAAGCCACTGCTGACCTCAGGGGAGGGAAAGTGAAGTTTGCAGGCAGAGTCAGCACTTCAGCACAGCATCCAACCTGCCCAGAGCCAGCCCCAGGCAGGGAACAACCAAAGCTGGACCCCTCAAAGCCCCTTCAGGGAACTCCACTGAACTATCTGCTCGTGTTTCACTTAATATTTAACCCCTCCTAGATGCAGATGACTGTTGGCTCTGCTCTTTCCATGCCTGTATTAGATAAAAGCTATAGGTAAAGCTCATCTGTGGTATTTTTGGTAGCACAAACAAATGTGTTGATAAATAAATCGCCCGCAGCCTCAGCCCACTTGTTTCTGGAAAGGAAATGACCCTCTAAGAGTGGGTGCCCACTTCTTTTACCTCACTGCTATTTTTAGGCGAGGCTGTGAAAACTTTCCACCGAAGAGCTGCTCCTGTCATTTCCTGGGCAGAGCAGGCAGGAAGCTGTGAGTGAGCAGGAGGAGCTGCCCCAGGCTGGACCGACCTCCCTCCCCTGCTCTGGCTGCTGCCTGCCCTGCAGAGCATCCCTCCCTGGGCACCCAGATGTTCCTCCTGGCCACAGCCCGCCCCACAGCCAGCTGTGGCAGTGCCAGCTGGGATGCTGGGCAGCAGCACAGGCACAGAACTCCTGCCCTTCCTGCCCAAATCATCTCCAGGAGGCACCAGCCTGGCCCAAGTCAGCCACCTCCCAGCTGGAATTGGGAATTGCTGAGCCATGGGCTGTCACTGGTGGGGTTTTTGAGCATGGAGTTCCTGGAGTACAGCCCCCCACGTCCAGCAGCAACATGGAACTTTGGAAAAATACAGATTTTGCTTTCTCAGAGACAAATCCCAGCGTGCAGAGAGGAGGAGATTTCAAACCATGAATTGTAACTATTAAAAACTAATTCATGTGTTCCCTTTCCCAGAGACTTGCCAGAGACTGGGCACCAGGTTTTTTAGATAGGGGGAAGTAGTGAAACTCTATGTTAATTAATACTATGTTAAATAATGTTTACTCATAAATATTGATTAGAAATTGGATAGAATATAGAGGCGCCTTACAGCTGCAAACCTGAGGATTAATCAGACTTGGGTGAGGCCTGCTTTGGTTTGAGTTAGTCCCTGTTTCAGCCCTTAAATATCAACAGGGAGCAGTAATTTAGAGCTGCGGTCTGAAACCTAGAAAATTCAGTTTTCTTGTTTTAAGGCAAATTAGTCAGAGTAACTAAACAGTTTCCACACCATGATGAATACAGCACCAAGGAGCTGCAGGTGAAATGGAGCCCCAAAAAAGGCAGTTCTGGAGTTCTGCATCAAAATGCTCATGGTTTAGGTATTTCCTAATCAAAGTGCAGAGATTTCTGCACTTAAATTCTAGGGAGCACCTGAATTCTAGAGAGAGAATTATTGTTCCAGGAGGTGCCAGAGGGTGCTTTAGGCAAGTGAGTGTGAAAAGTTGCCAGGAGGCTTTGGCTGTTGTAAATAAAGTAATATTGTTGTGACTTTTAATCAGACAGCAAAGTTCTTCAGTGTCTTCCCTTGAGCTTTGTTAACAAGCCTGTCCCAGCCTCTCACAGTGCCCTGGTGCTGCATGCAGGTTGTTTGTGCTCCAGTCTGCAAATAAATGGTAATAAAGATGTAAAGCAGATAATAAAGTAGAGTCTAGAGTGGGATTAAAAATTACAAAACATAAACCACCCAAATGCAAACTTTTTCACCTGAATTGCAGTCCCTGTGTTTTCATCACTGTCCACTGTATTTCCTCCAAACCTGGCCTTTTTCTCTTTAAAATATTTTTCTTTCAGCCTAGTGGAAATGTTGGAATGCTTAGATACCTGGAGATGTTTGTTTTTGCCCCTGGGGTAAGGGCAGTGTCTGTGGCAGAGGGAATGTGTGTGAGGGATGTGGCAGGCCCTGGGCACGAGCTGCAGCCTCTCTCTGTTTTATGGCACCCGAATCACATTGAACACAGTGAAATTCCCTCTCCCCCCCCTTCCCCCTTCCCTTCCAAAAACGTGTAATGTGGGCAAACAGGACCACTTAGGTTTTAATAGAATTAAGTTCTGAATGCAGAGGGGATGTTTGCAGCTTGACTGCCCAAGGATTGCTTTTACTTTTTACTTGTCGTGATGTTGGAAGTGCTTTAATGTTTCCTCCTCTCTCTTTTATTTCCCAGTTAACGAAATTATCAGGAAGGAATTTTCTGGACTCCCTGCCAGAAGTCAGACATAGAAGAAGAGATTTGTGAGACAACTTTTACCGAATCCTTCCACAAGTGACCTCTTAGACCCTTCCAGTGCCCCTGCAGCCTCTGGCTTCCTTTGCAGTTCATCTCCGGGCAGAGACTCAGCGCAAGGAACAATGAATTGGCACCAAGCGACAGCCTTGGCTGAGCCCCTGGCCACCCCTGAGTGCAAACAGCACGGAGGACACCCTTCCTTCCATCCAGAGACCACATTGTTCTCCTGGAACAGAGCATCTGTCTGAGGAAACACTCCAAGCCTGCTGCAAGCCATCTGTCCGTGCGTCCGTCCGTCCACGGGGACAGGAGCTGCCCCTGGGCTGGCTCAGAGCTGGGGGGACACTGGGGGTGGGCAAAGGGGAACACAGAGTAATATATTCCACGGGAGAGCAGCACCATCCTGCAGGTCACTAACAGTGATCTGCCCTCCTGAGAAATGGTATTATTGTGGGAAACTGAGGCAGCCAAGCTCGCTCAGCCTTCATCCAATCCAGGATCAAAAGCCAGTTTGCTCTGAGCACTGTGTTGGTATTTCAAATGGGAGATCCCAGCTGAATCCAGGAGTTTCCTTCATTTTTCTCATCAGACTGGATGGGAATTTGAAGGAGAGGGATTCTCATAACCAACCAGTGAAAAGAGCAATTCAGCAGTTCACCTGCCCCAAGGTAAACTAATCCCAGGTAAAACAGAGATTAATATATAGGAGTTACAGTAAATCCAAAGATTTTATGATTGTTCCTTATTAGTATTTAGGCAGTGTATGAACACATCTTAGATATTTTCTCTCTAACAAATTGTTGCTGTTTCTTTTCATGTAGAACCTGCTCTTGGCTCATTACTTGTCTCATTTAGCAGCTGGAACATTTACTCACCCAAGCTGCAGAGGAAAATAATTGCATCTTACAGAAGCCATACATTCCAGAGAAAATAGACACTTATTTATATTCACCTGGCCTCTTTAGCTTTGCACAGCTAGCAGCAATTCCTGGAAAGGTTCCATTTCCATGGGAGTTAGTATTTTGTTATATTTTGCTTCGTGTGTTAGAATATCCTGTCCTGACTCCTGCTTAGCACATCCCAGGTAACCACTGCCACCTGCAGTTGTACAAGTTAGAATATTTAGGGGAGTCAGGGATAAAAAGGCTTCTGAGTGGGTAATCAGTGTACAGTAAAAGATAGCCATAATATTTTAGGAATTACATAGTAATCTTTCCTGGTTTTATAAATAAGGAATGCTGGTATTTTCAGCAATGCAGAGCCTGAGCTCTGCTCTAGAAAGCAGAGTGAAACGAATCCAGTTTTCAGTTGTGTCCCAGTAAACTTGGCAGAATACCAGCTCACAGCAGGAATGAGGGGATGGGAATACAGCAGAGCAGCCTCAAAATTGGTTCCCCAGTGTCTCAAGAAAGATTTTGCACAATCCCTGCAGAGCACGTGCTTGGTCCAACAAAAATCTCTTCAGGACTATCAGGAAGAATGTTTTTTCTGCCACTGAAAACCGGTGCTTAAACTCTGCAAGGTCTTGGGGTTTAGAGTGGGAGACAGAAGCATTAGGTTCTTCAGAACCCCTGACCTGGGGCTCAGCTAAAATTTGGCTCTTGAACAGAAATCTGAATTTCACAGGAGCAGCTCTGAACTCCAGATTCAGCCCAGCTCAGATCCAGAACCAGAGCAGAGCCCTGCACATCCCACCCTGGCTTTTATGGCACACTTGGCTTCTATTCCTGCTTTGTGGGGTTCAGATCTTTCCCCCAAAAGGAGTTCCTGTATCCCAGCACCCAGAACTCCTGGGGGGCATCACTCTGCTGCTCTCCTCGAGCTCTGCCCCTCAGCCTGGGCCTGCAGAGGTGAAAATGGCCTTTTTTCACTGCTGATTTTACAGAACCAAAAGTGAGGCCCAGCCTTGCTGGAGAGGGGAATTCCTGTTAGACAGCACTCAGCAGGACCCACTGGCTCACACGCCTCAAAAAGCTATTTTGGATTGTTAAAAGCTGTCAGTGGGCCAGAAGCTGACACATATTAAGGGGTTTTTAGTGCAGTCTGATGAATTAGACAATTTTGACATATTCTAAAGGCCAGAAGTTGCCTTGTCAGAAGTTCTTTGATACAGCTGAGTGAAAGAACAGACCAAATGCATCTCCCAGTTTCACACTTGGATGTATCAAAGGTTTTCCATGATCCAACCTGTAAAGTATAGAAGAAATTTTAAAAACAACCCAGAAACCCATCCACAGGAAAAAAAAAAAAAAATCCTCAGATTACTGGCAGAACCTTCTCTTTTGCTGGATTTTAAAAAGGAGCTCAAAGAAGCCCAGGAAGGTCTTTTCAGATCTGTGATGTGCTGCTGCTGCTGCTCTGGTGATTGTCTGCTCATCAATTTAGGAGAATCATTTTTTGCATATTTATTTTTAGATGATATCAATTTAGAAAAAGGGCAAAGTAAAATCTAGTGCTGGATCTGAGCAAAGAACAAGGCCAGTGTCTGAGTTCTGCCTTCGAGATTGTTGAGGCTGAAATGTCCTTTTAATAAGAAGTTAACCCCTAAAAGGAAGGAGTAGCTGCAAGCTTGGGTTTGGAGCAAAGGCTGTTCAGGGCCAGGGGGAGCCAGGCAGGCACAGCCCTGCTGCACCAGGAGACCTCTGCAGCCCAAATAAACGAGATTTCTGCTCTGCTCATGTGTTCTTCAGGCCCTTTGCTATGGAGGGGGGACAGAGGGTTGGGTTTTGATTTGTTGAATTTATTTTTGGAGGTTGCTTTTTTTTTGTTTGGTTTATTTTGTTTGGTTAGAGATTTTTTTTTAGATTTTTTTTTATTTTGTTGGGGGGGGTGATTTTTTTGTCTGGGTTTTTTGGGAGAAAGGGGCTTTTTAATGTGCTACAGGTGCTCTAGCCACGCTTGCACTGACTGTATTCCTTCCTTCTCTTTACTGCATAGGTATTAATCTGTGTACATATACAGAGTACAATGTCATTTATATAATACACCCACACAGACAGGGATTATTTACAAGGGCTGGTAGTAACAGGACAAAGGGGGAATGGCTTCCACGTGGAGGCTTCACCCCGTGTATTCTGTTTTTTAGGGGTTCAGCCAGAGCTGCACCAGCTCAGGCTCTGCTGCCCCATCTGCTTTTCCATGCAACAGCAGTTAAATAATTCAGCTTCAACCAACTTTGTATTTATTTCCGGAGAAAAGGAGCATCCTCAGACATAGTGTTGTGCATTGTTGTCTCTTTAAAAAGGAAAAAAAATATATAGCTAGGCTGAGGAATTTCAATATATACAGTACTAAATTATTTCCTGTTCTTGCTGAGCAGTGTTCTCCCAGTATTAGTATTTCTGTTCTTAGTACAACTTTCTCTCTGTACAAGCACGAGCTTAACCTTGGAAGAGTTAATAGCATTTTGTGAGCAATTTGTTCTCACTTTATCTGGAAGACAGCCATATTTGCACATGAGGAAATTCTGTCTTTCCTCAGTTATCTGAATGTTTCACCACAGTGCCTTCCTGCCATTGTACCAAAGGCCTGCAAATGTCTTGTCTGCAGGGTGAACAACTCTAATGCATTTTCCATCAAAGTTGCACCATGTGAAGTTCATGGGGCACGTTGGAACTCAAAAGTTCATCTCTTTTTATTTGTCTTTTGTGTGTGTGTGCGTGTGCATTTTTTTTTTTAAACTTCCATTTTTCCATCCGAGCTTTGGCTGCAAATACAGGATGAGCTTCTATAAACTCTGCATCAAATATACATAGAATAAAAATCATCATTCATGATATGTAAACAGTCTGAGAGTGGAATGGGAGTGGGCAGATATCAGGAAGATTTTTTTTTTTGTCAGTTACGAGTGTTGGAAGTTGAGTTTGCCAGGAGAGGAATTGCCTGTGAAGATACTTGCAATGAAATACAAAGTCCTGGTTTTGTTTTTCTCCATGAGAATGAGCAAAATGTGAGATCTGAGCAACAGCAGTGGAGTGAAAGTGTCTCATGTATGTTGTTTTTACAGGGAGAAAGAATGTAGAAGAGTCATGGGTTTTGCACTTGCTTTATTTGTATCCATGTAAATATGTATCCCTCCATTCTCCCCGTAGGAATTCAGCATTTCCTGAATGTAGAGGATTTCAAAAACCAGCACTATGTTATTCTCTCTTGTATAAAAAGCTGCTGCTTCACAACATATCTAGACCAGTTCTCAAAGTAGCTAGCATGTTTTATAAATGTATTTTGTAATCTATCTTTACAACAAAAGTGACTGTGCTTTTTTTCTGACCAAATATGCAACAACTTTTGGATTGAGGTTTGTATTTATAAAGGATCAGTTTTCATTTTCTGAATGCCTTACTTTTCTATGCAATTGTTGTTGAATTGTTGTTGTCCTAAAAAAAAAAAAAAAAAAAAAGAAGATGTATTTGATAGATTTCCCAAAGACTTCAAAGACAGCTTTAAACGCTTGAGAAATATGTTTCTAAATATTTCAATCTGACTTCTTCCCCTGCATTTCTTTCCAAATTGCTACTTAATAGGGAACAATGATCTGCCAGATGGGACTCAAGAAAATGACTGTCTTAATTTCAAATCTTAAACTGATTCAGATCCTCATAATTTTTGCACCACTTAAAATCATCTGATGTTCCAGTTTAGCTGCAATTCTGAGTGATTGTTATTTATGTTCCATATTCCTGTGCAATAGGAAGAGATGCCACTGCTGGTTCTCAGTGGGGTGAATTGTAGAATTCTCCAGAAATCAACTCTTTTCCTCATCATTTACATTGCAGTGGTTTCTTCCCTGTGAGGCAACACTCTGCCATCACACGTGGAAGGTTGTAATTCTTTATTCATCTCAGTTCAGAATGAATAATCCACCTTTTGGAACGTTTGACATCAGATTGGCATCTGTATCTGTAATATCTGCTGGTTATAACTGCAGGGCTCAGAGCTGATACCAACTTCTCTAACTACCAACCCCCTCTGGTCTGTTGAAGGGTTTTTTTTTAGCCATTTGTGTTGTTTCAGCGGTACAAAAACATAAACCAGTACCTGCACATTGCAATAAACTTCACCTGAAGGTGCTGATGCTGCAAAAGATGTCCTCAAATGCAAAAAAATTACCTGGAGGGGTTGAGTTTTGTTCTTTAAGTCCTGAAACAGCAACATAGGGTAGAAAGCTCCAGAAGGAGCGAGTCTCAGAAATAAATAATGTTTGTAAAAGCCAGGACTGGCAGAGGTGCTGCAGGTGGGACCCTGCTCTGCCGTGCTGGTGGCATTGGGCACACAGAGCCTGCCCAGTGCTGGCCTGCCTGGCTCTCACATTTTTGTCTGAGTGTGTTTATGAAGTGACACCCCCCAGGTCAGCCCTCCCTGCCCTGGATGTTCAGGTAAAGCCGGATTTTAACAGACACACGATTGAGCACTTGTCACTCACATCATCCTAGCAGATGTCTTTTGAATCAAGTTGCCTGTTCAAAAACAAACTGTCACAACTGAAAAGGGGTTTATATCATTCACATTCCTACAACAACGTTGTTAACCTCCAATGTAACGATTTTTTTGCTATCTGTAAAGTATTTTTATATATTGCCTGTACTATGGTAGATTAGCAATAAATGAAAGGGCATCATCTGCTGCAAGAGTGTTTGGTCTGTTCTTAAATACCTTTAGTGCCTTTGATAAATGAATATCAGGGGGCTGAGTCACCCACTTGTCTTCTTGTCCTGTCACCCTCAGAAAGACTCAGGAAGGAGCTGTGCAAAAGGATTTCAGAGCATTTCATCACTAATGAGCTGCTCAGCCCCCCTCTGGGTCAGGATCCCACCCAGTCCTGTGGCTGACACTGCTCACACTGAGACTTCTTCATTTCCTCTTGCTGTCTGTTTTCCCTCTTTTAATTTTCTATCCCCACCACCCCAGTAAAAAGCCCCAAACAATCCACACCAACAGGCACTGCAGAGCCTTGACCTCAGTAAAGCAGTGATTCCATCTGTGTGAGTGTCCCTCTGCATCAGTAGATGCTTTTTTAGAGACTGGGGATGGACTCCATTTCACTTTTTTTCATCTAAATCTTAATTCTGCATTTCTCTGCTGGAGACACTAAAAGAGACATTTTCATACTGCTGTGCTGGAGGGGTGCCCAGAGCCCATTATGGCCCAGTGAGAGCCGAGTTTGTACAGCATTCAATTAAAGACATTTACCTTAACAAAATCAATATTATCCTTTGCATTTAAACCCAGAGAATTCAAACCATATTCCGTGCATTTGTGGGCCACGGAGCAAGTGTGCTGCCTTGCTTATTCACAAGAGCCTCAGAGCAGGGGCCATGTGGAAGTTCTTAACTCCCAACCCTGCACAAAGGCTGGGAGCCTCAGGAGCCAGACAGGCCTCGCCAACAAAGAAGCTGTTACTGGCTAGGAGAGAACATTTTATGATGAGCAAATATATGGCACGCAGGATTTGAGCCTCATTCAGCAACAGGAAAATTTAAGTAACTTAACCTGGAAATTCCACAGCTCTGGTCTGAGAACTCGAGCACCTGACCTGATCCTCTGGCTTTAATTTACGTCTCGGGGCTGAATTAAAGGACTACAACAGCAGCCCAGGTTTTTCGTCTTAACGGGAAATTTCCTGGATTTTGTGGACTTAACTCGCTCTTTTGTAACCCTTCAGCACAGCTGAGTTTTTCCCAGTTTTCAGGGCAGCAGCAAGGAAGAAAAACCCATGTTGCTAATGAGCATCTGGGTCTCGTGTGAGCACTCGCGTGCTCCGCTGTGTAAATATGCATTTACAGCTTCTTTTTCTTTTTTGAAATACAGCTGTAATTTAGGCAGTCTAAGGAGCTGCCTTTCAGCTTCAGAGCAGATTCTTTTCCCAATACATCATCCCTGGCCTGCTCAGGTGGCCAGGCTCAACTGGGCTGCTCCAAGGGAGCTTCACGGGGAAGGGGAGCTCCCTCACACCATCCTCATCCTCCCCATCCTGGGCCTTCCTTGCACTGCTGCTCCTCTGAACGCAGCATCTCGCGGTGTAGAGGGGCTTGAATTTATTTTATTTAGGGAAGGCAAAGCCCCAGCAGAGGATTTGAGCTCCTACTGACCCCAGAGGGCAAAAGTGCAGAGAAAATTGCTGAGGTTTGAGGGATCACTTACCCTGAAATGCTGGGACAGGGATTGGAGAGGCTGGCAGGAGCTGCCCTGCACACGAGTGGGTCACAGGCAGGCACCTCTTTATTCCACAGACCAAGCTGCAGCCAAATCCAGGAGGGCACGGGGGCAGCCACTGAAATAAAGCCATTTTCTGTTGCTCAGACATCCCCACAAACAGCAAAGGATGCATTTCCTCGGGCTGCTGCAGCACAGGGTGGCAGTGCCATCTGCAGGGAGCTGAGCCACAGCCCAGCTGGGCGAGCCCAGGGGAGCAGGGAGGGACCCCCGAGGTGTTGGATGATTCCCTTTCCTGACCCAGAGATGGGGCAGCTGAGAGGTGCTTGAAAAACTTTCATTCCATTTTCAGACAATACAGGTGTTATAATTCACACCATCATAATAAAAAACGAATTATTTCCTAATTACAATACATTATAAGCATTTCTTGGCCTATCAGCTTTTTGCCATGCAAATCCTTTAAAGCAAATTAGTTAAAACTGCCCCTCATGGGTCCCACTACAGTGCATCTTTCACCGT